GTCGCTTCGGTTACTATGGTGGTCTCAGTTGGGGGGGGTGGGCTAGAGCCTGAGAGTTCTTAGGGTCCAGTGGAGGAGCTCTCTTGGGGGAATGTTGCGTCGCCAGTTATCCCGGCCCCTCCTGCAACTGCGGTTGTGGGTAGTTGTATGGGTGGACCGGTTTCCGATTTGTTGGAGCTGGTTGAGATGCTTGCTCCTGGTGTGGGCAGGGTGGATCCTGGTGTAGTGATACCAGCTGCCATGGTATCACCCCCTTCAGAGGGGCAGGTATCTGAGTCTTCTATGGCTGAGCCCATGGCTAGTCAGGATAACACCTCTGGTGGAGTCCCTCCTATGGCAGTGGGTAGTAATGAGGGTGGCCCGTTCACTCCTGTTACTAGAACTACACCTGGGGGTGGGAAGAGGAAGAGAAACAAGAAGTGTCAGGTCAAACAAGACCAGACTACACCTGTGTCACTTGTCACTGACTCAGAAAGGTCCTCACCTTCGCCGGTTCACTATTGTAAACTGTCTACTACAGAGTCCGCGGTGGGTTGGCCGCCACCTGTGGAGGGAGCTGAGGAGTTGGAGGAGGGGTTGAATACCTGGGCATGTTCAGTCAAGTGCCGGCGGCTTGGGAACTATCTCATTCGGGCGGCTTCCATCAAGGTTTTTGAGCTGCGCTGCCAGTGTAGGGCCCCCCTGATTCTCTACCACAGTTCATACCCCCTTGGCTAGGGAGCCCTCGCCCTCTAAGTCAGCTTTCCCTCGGGTCTAGGTGCTTTAGTATTGAGTGTTTCTTTTGTTTGAGAATGGGGATAGGTGCCGGAGTGGTCGGCGGGGTCTCCCGGGATTATTGAGTGGGAGTGCTTGAGTGGGTTTCTATTGTGGAGGAGGTTTTTGCGGAGTCATATTCAGATGGCAGTAGTGGAATTTTTGTATTTTGTACAGGTAACTTAGCTGGCGGGTAGGCTAGGCTGAGGAGGACTTTTCTTTACCGTTGATGGCTTTGTATTTAGTGTTCGTATTGGGGCATGGTGTAGGCATGTTTGAGGTACAGGGTTGGAGGTTTAGTTACTTCGTAGTTAGTGGTATCTGGGATGCAACAACCTGGGAGCCTGGTCCTGGGGCTCATCGTATGCCAGTATTGGCGGTACGAGTTTAAATAAAATTAGATTGAATTCTAAGTACTTTTCCTACTAATTACTTTAACAAATATAAAATACCTTTATGATCTTTATCTTTATTGCAACATTTATCATTATGCTAAGAAAAGCTCTTCATGAAGAAGAGTTAGAGAAAGCTTATGATAGGTATTCCCAATAGAAGATAAAGGTCTTATACTATCGGTAACCTAGGCAGAGGCCTAGTACTATCGTAGAACTAAGGAAAGAAATAGGAAAAGAAGAGAAGTATTGTTCCCTGTCATCATGAACTAACTATCTAAGCAGGGATTATTACAGCAAGGTGCAAAATTTAGGAGCTACACTTTATGCAAACTGGATAAAGATGATCCACCAGCAAGCAAGGCAGTCACTTCATTAGACATGAGAAGCCATGGCCAAATACTATGATATGAGGGCCAAGCAACCACCAGACTTCAAAATCAGCAATAAAGTAATAATAAATGCAAAGAATATTGATACACATTGGAAGTCAAAGAAATGCAGTCCAAAATTCTATGAACCATTCATGATCTTGAAGAAAAGAGGAATACATGCTGTAAGCTCAACATTTTGGATCGATGAAACATATACCCAGTGTTCCATGTATCTCTGTTAGAACCTTATAGGGAGTCAGTACACGTGGACCAACAATAACCACCCAGAGAACCCGAGGATATTGAGGGCAACTTACAATTGGAAATAGAGAAAACATGAGAAGCGAGATAGGCTCTTACCGAAAGCAAGTACATGGACACTACCAGGAGGTACACAAACTATGGTACTTTGTTAAATGGCAAGGGTTTTTCTAAGAATGAGAATACCTGGAAAACTACTACAGGTATGGATAATGCAAAGGAAATGGTAGAAGAGTTCTACCATAATAATCTAGAAATTTTACGACAGGCAGACGAAGGAAGATGAAGAAAAGGTTTTCCTAACATGGCTAAGTAAACGCAGAAGGTTTTTCACCCTACTCTCATCAGGTTCTAAAGGAATTAATTTTAGATGTTTTAATTATTTAATGTTTTATTTTAATTTTTAATTTTTAATTTATTTTATATGTACCAAAAAGATATTCGAGGCGAAGCCTTAAGAGGAGGAAGCTGATGTTAGGAATACTGGGATCCGATACCGAGGAAATACTCTAAGTAGAGTAACCTCACCCAGAATCAGAATCTCTGGTCTCCAAAATCCTGCTCTGGCCCCCTTATGGGGCCCACACGTTATCATACGTATAAATCTCAAATTTGTCCTGTGACGATAATACTACCGAATTGAAGGCATGAGAATAACACTATATACGTCGCTACCATCTGTCCAACCGGATCCTGTTCGCAGGATATATGAGTGAGGACCTTCAGCTAGGTCTGAGAGGAAGAGCAGAGTAAATCTGTCAACTACCCAGAAGGTTACTAGACTTCAAAGATGTAATATCTTTGGCATGTACTGTAGGTGACAGGACGTTTTTGCACAAAGAGATGGTTTTGAATGGTAAAGGATCTCAGCAAGAGACCACTATATTCACATCTACCCTACAATGTCTGGATGAGTCTAGAACTCCAAGGAATACTACCAAAAGGCTATTGAACTTCATGAAGTATTGTAACTAGATTTCAGAATACATTGTAGCTACGAGGATAACTTGCAATACTATAACAGTAATTGAAATCCTGTTATCCAGAGCAACCAAGCGTTACCAACTGAGGGAATATTTATCAATCTGGTAGAATAGCTTTCTGCAAATTGATAGGAAGTCCCCTTGAAGATATCTATCAGTTGGGTAAGGAGTTATGGAGGTTTAAAGTCAGACAACCTGAAAAAAAGATTGTGATTATGACTACCTGCATAGATGCAACCCACAGATGAAACTGATCATTTCATCAATGACGGAGACAATTGGGACCAACTCAGTTCAACTTGAGAACTTGACCACAAGCCCAAAGACTCTAAAGATTGGATAACTACTATTAAGAATAGTATGATTCTGAGTTAGTTATATCGTAATTACCAAAAAGGGTGTGGTAATTTTCAGGATCTCCAGGTGTTTGCACCTTTCAAGAATACTTAACGTTGCAAGTTATAATTAAAGAGGTACATAGTTGTATGATAAATAAATGTAATCCGCGAATACTCAGATGTGGAATATAGATATCAAAGTGCCTCCCAAGCTTTAGACATCATCAAGCAATGGAGAAGTGACCTTAACAATATAATATTGTTTTTATGATTCTTTCTTGCTTTACCAAATTTACTTCGCTCTCAGTAATAATAAATGAAATAAGTGAATTAGAGCCTTCCTAGACTCTCTATCTACAGAAACGAAGCTTGATTGGCCTAAACAATTCTGCTGTCTACCAGATTGTCTCCGCCTAACACAGACTGATGGGTAAACAGAATGTGTAAATGTGATACTTGAGCAATACCTACGGGCCTATCAACAAGACGATTGGCACAAGCTACTATCAATGGTCAAATTCACATACAACAACAGGAAACAAGAAATGATAGGCACGACACCATTCTTTGCAAATTACCAATAACATCCAGAGAGTCAGGCCACAAACCACATGATTAGTAGAATGATAGTAGATAAAACAAATATGGAGAAACTACACAAAATGTTATGATCCAAAATGAGTCAAGCACAACAACAGCAGAAAGAATAATACGATAAACATCAGAGACCCGATCCGAATATACAGCCTGGAGATATGGTGTGGTTACTACCACACATGATACATGCAATGTAGCTATTAAAGAAATTGCACTACAAGAAAATCAGACTATTCCGGATACTGGAGAAAGTGGATAACCAAGCTTATAAGCTCGATCTTTCTCCCTCGTTGCAAATATCATACTGATTTTGTCTCCACTTTGAAAAAATATATTTATAGCTGGAAGTCCTTATCGGGTTTCCAGCATACAACAGTAGATGTTGAACACACACAAAGGAAATATTAAAACCTTTAACTATGTGAAATAATAAAATAAAAACACTATTACTCCCTTTGCAATTGTGCTGTACAAAACTCAGTTTCACTTCTCTCATGCTCTCTTCTCCTTTGCTACCTGCCATTAGGCCCACCAGCCTTTATTGGACACCTGTCATACCAACATTAGCCCGGAAAGCCATCCATTGATCATATCTTGCTCTCTCCCTCTCCTTAGCTGCCACTCTTGCCAGTCAGTCATTGTCCTTAACCAAGTGGGCCCCATCACAAGCCGGGCATTTTGCTGGTGTTATGAGGCAGCAATATGCTATCTGTCTTCTATACCCCTTACATGTCGTTTGGGAGTATTTGCATTCATGTTCCGTATGTGTCTTCAAGCAGATAGGGCATAGGTCCATGGCGGCCTGACAACCCACCCTCGCGTGCTTGAACTTCCAACACCTTGTACACTGCGTAGCCGGCGTGGCATGCCACATGACCCGGGTTTCTCTTCTTTTTCCCAAGAACGTCATTTGCGTTTACGGTAGAGTATCATATCGTACTTGTACCTGTAAGCTACCAGTACTCGAGCTGAGTACTTGGCGATTCAGTAAGTATCCGGACGCCTTGACACCAACCGGTACCTATAAATGTGAATCTTGGCATCAAGGGATCCCAATACTTTACGAGTCGCCAAGTATCGTCCTGTGCGAGACTTCTCTGGTAAGGTGTGGAGAGCGTTCTTCCTATCGTATTGATTGCTAGATGGTACTCGAGTACAGGGGGGTCTATAGAGGCAGGAGAGAGACTTTTGGCCGCGTCATGAAAGTTGTCAGCGCAACCGGTCGCAATGTACGAGTACCGTACAGTACCTGTAAGCCATTTACGTGTCCTACTGTACTCGTAGACTACTCGTACTGGCAATCCCACCCCAAAGAGGTTGCCTCGATAACTCCCCTGGGGACTTTCGGGCAGATCACGTGCCCTTACCTAATCAAGAAATTCTCCCAGCCAATCACTTCTTGCACCCCACCCCAAACCCAACTTTCTCCCGGGTTCTCCCTTTTCAACCTTAGCCTGCCCATCATCATCAATCCAATCCGCCATCATTCAATCCCCCCACCATTCAACCAATCAACCACGGAGGAAGAAAAAAAAATACGTTGACGATGCCCCTCTCATCCCTCTTCTCAGACATCTATACGTCCCTGACCATCTCCCCGGTGAACGCGGAAGCCCCACCGGTCGAGGAGCACGAGGGATCTTCGGATTTAAAAGCGGAGGAGAAGAGGTCCGCCGAGCCAGAACCCAAAGAAGAGGAATCAGCTGGGGGAGGTGCGGAGACGGAGGAAGAAGAACCGGAGGATGTGATGGGAGCTATAACTGAGGGCATGTGTCTATACATCTTATGTGTGCAATCCGGACGGGCAAGGGCGGAGATGCTAATTGATATCATTGAGTGGGAAAACAGAATGCTCCGAGTCAAAAGAATGCAAGCCAGCAAAGCATCATTACGGCGAGTGCGTTGAGAGGGTTACCACTGCGGCGGAGAGCGAAGCGAAGGAGCCGACGGAGGATTGTGTGGAGGAGTGCATGTTCTCCCTTTCTTCCCCCCTATCCTCTCTCTCGGATAGAGTAGCTAATTGGGATACCGCAGTCTTCCACCTGATGCATTGCTCCGCGCAATGCGCTGCTCCAAAGATCTGGGCGAAACTGAAGTAGTAGGCCAGCCAGTCTATGATACTTGACTGCCGAACACCTACTCCAGAAAAATTCCTTTTTTTACAAACAAAAAAACCGACTTGCAATTGGGGCTGGGATAGAACAATTGATAGATGTGTGAATGGGTGAGGACAGCATATAAAAAACCAACTTTGTACGTAGATACCGAGAGAGAGAAAGGTCACGGTTCGCCTACTTCTATCCTCGAGCGGTACCAGTATCTCGAACCGACCCAACCGACCGGCCGAGTAAGTGAGTGTGTGATTCGTCTCATCTATCGATAGAAGCAGGAGAGATGATACCGTGTAAACAAAACAAAGTATTCTGTAAAATTCACCCCGTTTTCAATGGTATTATTATTATTGCGAATTGCATCGGGGTACAATAAACTTGCAAGACATTGCTTTCTCACCCCCAATCCAATCCAATCCAATTCAACCTAATCTAATCCAAAACGGCCCAAGGAGGTAAAAAAAAAAAAAAGTGGGGTGAGTACGGCTTTTAACGGGTGGATGTACTCGAGTACTAGTACTTGTACTCGAGTATGGAAAGAATAGGATCTAAGACAAGTGGGGAGGGCAGGAAAAGCTCTCTCTCTTTTTACTCGGCCAGATGCCGCCGGTACAGCATTATCTTACACTACGCCAGGTATGATAACCAGCGAACAAACAATCTTTAATCAACGGCAGCGAACAGCAAAACACGCACCAATCGCGAGCACCCGAACACCAACCCGAGTAAGTGAGCGAAAAAATCCCAATTGCGAAATTACAGCACCGTACGAGGAATCGAAAACACCCCGCAGCGCAAAAACGAACATCCCACTTTCCAACCCACCAACCAACCAACCAACCACAAACTTTCCTATCGTCGAAACCCTACGTACTGTGTCAACATGAACTAACTAAACTCCCGGCGAACCGCAAAAACAGGACAAAACAAAAGCAAAAAAGTAAACCATACCATACATCCCCCCCTACCCCCCCACCCCTCTCTCCAATTCCCCGAAACTAACATGTCCCCCCAGATGTCACCGCCACCATCACCCCTCCATCCCCGCTCCCTGACAACCTCAACCCTCTTCACCACAATCGCCCTCCTCTCGTTCCTGATCGTCGGCGCTCCGCATGTACTCCCATGTCCGGCCGGCGTGAATCGACTCGACCAGCATCGCGCAAAGGTTGGAAAGTCGAATGGAGCGGGGGGTGAGGAGGAGAGGAAGGAGGGGGGGGAGAAGAAGTGTCCGGGGTTGGTGGGCGCTGTATTGGGACGCAAGGGAAGTGGGGAGGAGGGGGGGGAGGGAATTGGGGCGGCTGGGGAGAGGAGGAGGGTTGTGTTGGGGGGGAGGAAGTGAAAGCGGGAAGTAGGTGGGAATGGGATGGGAATGGGATGGATGGACGGATTACTGGTTCATGATGGAGGGTATTTGGGAATTTTGTGCATAAAAGTTTCGGCCTCGGGGATGTTTGTGGCCTTTTCTTTCTTTCTCTCTTCTTATACCTTGGGTTCGGCTTGATGGATTAGGCGGGTGGAGTTGGGTAGTGGATAGCATGTGCCACAATTGGTATCCTGCTTTTCATATTTTAGAAATACATCTCTTGAGGAAAGCCCTTTTGGCCATGATATCGTGGGCTGATTTGCGGCTTGTGGTGATCATATTTTCTTTTATCATAATAATATTATCATACAAACTTAATTTTCCCAAGTCTGGATCCACCAGGTATCACTCGTCCCGGGACCCGGATCTACTAACGAGGTGGGTGTGCGGTTAGATAGGACATAGAATTCTCGAACAATTGAAAAGGTTTACTTCGATTGAGGAGGTGCCTGAGCGGCGTTCGTGGAGTTGTTGCCGGGCCTCACAAGTTGCGATCTTGATGCTCGCATCGCGTCTCTGGCACGATGTTGCAATTCAATTTAGAATTTCAGTAATATATTTACGGCAAAGTAGGCCCTGAACGAAGCATCACAACATCTCTGTGCCCACTAATTTATACAAATAAGACGCCAAAGGCAAGGCTAGGGCTTGATCGCTAGAATCTGGACACCGTCTTCAAATGGTCAGCTGCCATCACCTCAAATATTCAAAAGAAATGAAAAGAGGAAGCCAAAGAAAAGCAAATCATCAGATGCTCGCCCGGTCAAGGGCAATCTCATCAATGCCTGTTGAGGCTATGAAGACCGTCGTGAGATTGTAAAAAGAGTCTCATCATATAGAAGAAGCGAGATAAAACATGAAAAGGGGGAGGGAAACGTCGGGCCAGAACTAACCGGTTAAACACGAGGCCTAAGTGTGGGATATATTTCCTAGGGTTTCCGAGTTAGATGTCAGCAGGTGAACATCAAATTGGATGGACATCAGCCGAATATGTAAGGGACCAGGTCAGACGTTCCAGCTCTCGTCTGTGCGGAAAACCGCTCGGACATATGCTTGTCTTTTATTTGGAAATATCATCATATGGAGCGAGCGTAGGTACTCGTAGAAGCACAAGTAGTCTTACATTAGGAAGATATCCCGGACGCTTTGACAGATGTAATTCCGCACGCGATCTGGGTTTCTGCGTTTCTGAAGAAAGTTAGCGGAAAGCCGCCACACACTCTGGATCAAATTGATTGCAATCAAGGGCCATGTTCAGAAATTGCATGAATGGTTGTTAAAATGATGTTTCGTCATCGGGAAAAACCCGGATAGGACTCGTCATCTAAATTGGGCATCATCATAGAAGATGTAGGTAGGGCAGCACAAAAATGAAGAGTGGAAAAAATAAATACCCTGTTCAAAGTGGTCACTATTGTATAATGGCGCTACTAGGGAAATCCATTATTAAATCGTTAGCGCCAGCACAGACGAATGTCGGCAGGAACAGTTGTAGCAACAACGCGAGACCGTGCTCGGATCAGTTGGGCGGGGTTTCTGAGGCCCCACCACAAAGTGCTTATCGAATCATTGTAATTCAGAGACCAGTGCTCTTGTGCAAATCATCATATGCATCGGCCCCGTTAGAGGGAGTGTGGTGAGGGAAAAAATGGTATACCTTTATTGAGTCGGCAGTAATCTAATTGGGCCATGTCAGCGCATATTGACCAACCCGATAAAAGTGGTTACGGGGGTGAGAAATGGAGGGTGAGCTCAGAAACAGCCATTTTGTGTCTGCACCGCACGAAGTACTTGGACGGTAATTTCCAGCGTATGTAATACGACAAATTGATCATCTTTGCTCGGGATGGAGGGGTGGTAGAAGGGTATAATTACTTCGTGATTTGTGCCTATTGGCATAGGATACGAGATGTATTGTTCATTCTCGGATGTTCGAAAAAAAACCCGGTGAAAAATTTCAACAATGAGACCTGGGAATCCAGTCAGCAGTGAACAAGGGCCCAGTTGCATATGTTCAGAAATATGAAAGCCAATTCCAGATCAGCCTGACGTGCAAAGTGAGTTTCATGCCCCCTCTGTGGGGAAGTCAAAGACTCTAGTTTCGCGGTTGTACAAATCATCATGTTAAGGGGAGGAAAGAGAGAAGAAAAGGAAGCAAATAAGACAAAACTAACCTATCAATCTTCACACATGTTGAGGGCACGTTTGTGTTTCTGCGCGGTTTTCGTGTCGTTGGTGTAGGTTGGTTGTTGATCGAGGAAGTATGGTGAAGAAAACTTTCACCACTTCGATCAAAATAAGGTGCCAAGGCACTAGCAATGGTGGTCACGTTTTTGGCCGACTGCTCTCCTCCTTGTGGGCCAGATGACTTCAGGGTTTAGGGTTTCTCCGCTCCCGGCAGAATGCGACCAACGGCTAAATTCGAACCATTACCGGTCTGGTACCGTACTCCACGTTATGCGGCTCTATCTCGCATGGCCACAGGCCTCAAATAGCCGGAATAACTCGAACCTCGGCAGCTGCTTGCATTGGTCTGGGCGGGCAAAGTCGGAGGTGTGGTAATATGGTTGATTTCGCACATACCGGTGCCTCTCTACTCGAGTAAGGTTTCAACGATGGCTAAAGGGAAAGTTTTATGAAAGGAAAGTTCCGGCGTTTAAACTGGCTCTGCCAGTACTCATACCCGTATCATACAATGGTAGCGGAAGATAAGCTCAGGGTCTGCGTCCGCGGAGCAGGGTGGATGGCTGTTGGGGCTTTTCTGCGGGACTCAAGTTTGGCTGGCATCTTTGGCCCAGACACTTTGTGTTTGTGGCATGCGCATGGTGGCGATCACGGGCTAACTTCCCACACCCCATTCTCTCTATTTGGGGCCAAAAGCTACTACCGTACCGTATTGCTCCCTGGTTTCAAGACGTCACGAGCCTCTTTCCATGCTTCTTATGGCAAACCAGCTTCGCTCCACAACAAAAGAAAGGAAAAAATAGGATCTGGACTAACAATGCGTTGAATTTCTGCCAATAACGGATGTCCCCTAATATCTTCGGTTATAGACGGGCAGGAGCCCTCACAGCTCCCCAGCGGCTTTGACGATGGGTAAGAGGAACATCGCGGGGAAGCAGCCCCAGCAGAGAGATGGATGAGGGACCAAAGTGTATTCATTGCTTAGCTCGGCAGTCGCAGCAATTCGGGACGAGGGATTAGTTGATGCTCATGCTCTTCTTTCCCCACAAATGTTCCCTCTTGTCCCTTCCTTCCATACTTCCGAGCTTACTGTAAATAGCCTGGGAGGGTGGTGTAGCAAACTTACTTATTCTACCCTATCCCCTCTCTCCTCCATTTTCCCTTCGCCCTTACCTTATTTCCTGCCTTCGTGAATACTCCCTTCTCTTCTTAAAAAATCTTGGTCGTTTACAGACATGACTTCTAATGGAAGTGGAAGTGGTCACCATGGCGACTCTGAGGTGAAGACTGACATTATCACTCTTACTCGCTTCCTTACAGAGGAGCAGCATAGACTTGGTCCACATGCCACTGGGGACTTCACGTTTGTTGCCCTGGTTTCTTCGACTGGTGGACAATAGTTAATCATCGTTGGGATAGATTGCTATGTCACGCTCTCCAGTTCTCATTCAAGAGCATTGCGTACGACACCCTCGAGAGCTTCTACTGATCACAAACTAATGCCACACCTCTATTTTCTCTACCTTACAGTTACTACATTCGACGAGCCACCTTGATTAATGTAAGACCCTCCATTTCGTCTCTTACAAAGTTTGCAAACTCACATGTGTAGCTTATCGGTCTTGCCGGTTCCTCAAACATGACCGGGGACGACCAAAAGAAGCTTGATGTAATCGGTAACGAGATCTTCGTCAACACCATGCGTGGTTGCGGGAAAGTGAAGGTATTGGTTTCGGAAGAGGAAGAAGAAGCCATCATTTTCCCCGGTCATGGTAAATACGCCGTCGTTTGTGACCCCATTGATGGTTCGTCCAATCTCGACGCTGGTGTATCCGTTGGTACTATTTTTGGTATCTTCAAACTCGATGATGATGCCGAAGGAAAGGCGAAGGATATGCTCAAGCCTGGAACCGAACTGGTAGCTTCCGGGTTCACCATGTACGGTGCTAGCGCCAATTTGGTTCTTACCATGAAGGGCGGTTCGGTCAATGGGTTTACGTTAGACACTGCCCTTGGCGAGTTCATCCTGACGCATCCCGATGTCGGTCTCTCCATAGCTCTTTCTTTTGGCCGTGGGCCGTGTGCTGATTATGAACAGATGAGAATTCCGAAATCAAAGGGAATCTACTCGGTCAATGAAGGAAACTCCCTTTACTGGACCGAACCTTGCAAGGCTTACTTCGAGAGCATCAAGTATCCTCAGCAGCCCGGCGCAAAGCCGTACTCTGCTCGTTACATTGGATCCATGGTCGCAGATGCCTACAGGACCCTCTGCTACGGGGGTCTCTTCGCCTACCCCGCCGACAAGAAGAGTCCTAAGGGCAAGCTTAGGATCTTGTACGAGTGCGCGCCCATGGCTATGGTCATGGAGAATGGTGTGTAGCTTTATTCGGCTTCCCCTCAGACGTACCAAATGCTGACTGTGGCTGCACAGCCGGAGGATTGGCCATCACGAGTGATCAGAGGAGAATGCTTGAGGTAGTGCCCGAACACATCCACGACCGTTCTGGGATCTTCATGGGATCGTATGACGAAGTCACCAAGGTCACAGAAGTTTTCAAGAAGCACGGTGTAGTTGCAAAGTAGGATGGATTTATTTTCTTTCTCGCTGGTCGGTATTTTAATTGGAAGGAATGGCGTTAAGGGTAGCTTATATAGTACCAGTACTTTAGACCGTGGCGTCTAAGGTACGAGTACATGGACGTTAATCCATCCATCCATTCATTCCAAATAACCCAATCGGTAGCCCTTGACTTGTTCTATGTTCAAACTTTTTCTTCTTCTTTGCCTGCCCTGCCCTTTTCCCTACAATTCTGTGAAGACATTGTCTGTACTGTACCTTGCTTGCTCAAAAAGATATTTTCCCCCCTACTCTCTCCTCCCCTACCCTCCTCCCATTAGACCGTAGTCCGCCTATCGTGCAGTTGTTGTCCCGGCGGGGTACCTGCCTCCTTGGCATATATCATAATTTGCCATCCCACCTCTGCGTTACACCAACCATCTAATATCCTGGGCCAACCATGACGATGCCAACGCGTGCCGGCATGCGTTTTTACCATGAGGTGGACATCTGCAATGTCCCCCGCAACACTTGTATAGTATAATACTGTGCAGTGCCGTTTTTTTGTTAAGAGGTATCGAATGAAACCGGGTAAGAAAAATGCCTCGCGTCTCCTTGGCCTATAATACTTTGCTTTTTCGAAGGCATGTCAACCACGGCTATTCGGGGATGGTTATGTTGGATAACTTTTCGTATCCCATCGTACCGTAACCTCGGACGGGAGTATCTCGGATGGGCTCGCGAGGTTGTTGGATGTATATCAATTGTGGGAGCTGTCACACAGAACGGATTGTTTGATATATATTGTTATTTTTTTTTATTTCTCGGGGTTTGCTAAGCTATGTGTAGGATCTAATAGGTAAGGGAGGGAGGGAGAGAAGAGGGATGTGCTAAGCTGCGGCTTTGTAACGAGCCTCAGCAGCCTTCCAATTAACCACGTCCCAGATTGCGTTGAAGTACTCTGCTTTGCGGTTTTGATATTGAAGGCTTTGAAAATGTGTTCATTAGCGCTTCCAGTCAACGATAGAGTTGTTTTTTCTTTAGCTTGTGGGAAGCCTTACTAGTAAGCGTGCTCCCAAGCATCAATCCCCAGCAACGGAACGTACTTTCCCACCACGGGGTCTTGATTCTACAAAATTCGTTAATACTCTCCGGCCATCCTTCCGCCAGCGAGAGAAGAATACAAAAAAGGGGTATATGTACTCACGGGCATGGCGATAACCTGCAGAGCCCCGGTATGCTTATCCTTAGCCAACCAGCTCCATCCGCTGCCCTGAATTCCAGCAAGGCTAGCATTCATCATCTTCTTGAGATTTTCGACACTGCCATACGTGCTGGTGATTGCACCGGCGAGGTTTCCGCTCGGGGGGCTCTCCTCCACCGGAG